TTACATTAAGAATATTTAGAAACGTTTATAACAAGGAAAAACTGCTTGAAAACAAAAGAAAACACTTTATTTCTCGAGAGTACGACTGTTCATCATTTCAACTGATCTTATCAATAAAATATTGTCAGCTTGTGATGGATTCACATTGCATCGACGTTCAGTTACTACTAACCCCGCCGCGCTGAATGTCCGTTCTACAGCAGCTGTTGTTGCGGGTATCGAGTGAATTTTTCGTGCCACTTTAGACAGAACAGGAAATGTTGCACAGTTTTCATGCCAGAATTTCAAGGGATTTTCAGGTAAAATATCACTGTCAACTGTTAGTTTCAAATACACATCGAGTTCATCCGGTTGTGGAATTTTGTCAAATGATTCATTGTCACTTTTGTTTGCTTTATCCTCCTCCTCACTTGACGACGCATCATTTTCAAATTCTCGTCCAAATCGTTTCATTTTTTTCCTCTTCAGATTATTGCTTGATTGTTGTGCTTCTTCATCTTCTTTCTTTCCATTCTCAATGATAATAGCCATTTCTTCTCGAATAAATTTATGACAATTTAAGCGTTCGCCTTTCGAGCATTTTCGAAGCTGTTTGAAACGAGGATTCAATAACGTTGCCGCATAATGGCGTATATCCAAAATGAACATTGAATTCAATAATTGATACAAACGTCGACGGAAAAATTTCATGTCTACGAAGAAAAAATTCAGTTTTGGTGTTCAGCCATGAGAGCAAATATATTTACCTTCACTTTCAAAATTATCCACCGCTTCTTCATCGCTAACAGCCAACTCACGCTCATCATTTTCTCTCTTTCGAATTTTTTCGTTTTCTTGTTCTTCATTGATATACTCCAGCAAATTGTTGAAGGATGCCAATATTTTGCGCAATTTCAACACACAAATCAAGACCATATACAGTGAAGGTTCATTTCCCATTTGAATTAGTTTTATCACACGTTTAAACGGCCTCAATAATCTCGCCAAATCTCGGACATTCTTCGTATCGACATTAAAGAGATGTTGTTTTCGTCCTAATAAAATTTTTCGTGTTTGTTTGTACGATTTCAAAATGGATTCTAATAGCTGAATCAATGACAACCAGCGAACCACGGTTGACTGTTGTAAACAAACACCACCAGCTTCTTGAATATCTTTATTCAGTCCATTCTAAACAGAGGAACAATGCCTTAAAAAAGTGAAAGATAGTTATTCATTCAACTTACGATTTTAACGTATTTCACCAGTTTTTTACACGTAGTTATTGTGTTGAGAGCCTGTTTGGCTAAATAAGGGACGTCTTCATACAAAACTTTTGAGACATCTTTGTCTTTTTGAACATTACGTGCATTTGAGCTCGAAATATACTGGTCCAATGTTAATTTATCATCATCATCGCTCCATTCACTATCACTACTACTATCGAGATCATAAGAATAACGATTATTTGATGATGAGCTCGCTGTTGTTGTCGCTGATGGTGGCTGTTTATTCTCCGTTATTAAATTTTCTTTGGCTGCTTCCTTCTCTTTTCTTGTTTGATAGAATGCCAGTTTCAAAATATTATTCGATACGATGGGCAAAACAATAGAGTGGATTAAACAGTTTCAATGATTTAACAAAATTTGACCCTCAATCAGTGACAAAATGTACTTTAGACATATTGAGTAGGCCAAATTGTTCGAGTCCTTTCTCCAACGCCTAAAAAAAGGAGTATAGTAGAGACTAAGTAGTCGAACGAAAAGTCAAAAAAACCTACGATGAGAATATTATCTGCCGTTTTATCTGATTCTAAGTACGGACGACAAAATAGGTCAACAGCATGATGCTGATGATCAGTATCGACATAGGTTGCCACTGCTCCGAGATAGAATACTTTTCGGTGTTTGTCTGACCACATATCGGGACTGATAGTAATGCAATTATTCTCGTACGGTTCCTTGAGTTGCTCTTTCATTTTGGATCGATAGTTATCGGCCAAAGATTTGATATGAATACTGTTTACATGAGCTCCACGCAGTACATCATTGACATCAATATTTCCGTGTCTACTGCCTAAAAATAAAAGCAACCATTTCAGTTGTGTGGCACACTTTTCGCATTAATAGCTCACCCAAAAGAATACACTGTTGAATTAATTCTCTCAAACCCCGATCTTCTGAAATCGAGAACGGCCTTATATCATGACACAACCATTTGGCAGTCAAATCTTTGATAGTCTTTGCTTCGTTTTCGCACAGTTTTATCGACTTTGGAGTAGCATATTGAGCAATTGACCTCTGTGCTGTATTTGAGGAGCTCTTTGTAACATTGGTTGAATTCTTCAGATCTTGGACACATTTGTGTCCATTGATACGAGTGTTACCGGTCTTTGGAGTATATGCGTACGTGTTGAAACATTTTCTACATGACGCAAAGCCTTCGATTTTTGTCAATGGACCATCGGATTCAGTTTTCATTGCAGGAAAACCAAATACTTTCCAGCAGTTTGTTCCATCGCGAACAGTCTCGTTTTTAATGACTACGTACTTTTCTTTTTCCGTTTTCAACAGACGTTCGATTCTCTCTTTCCCGTACTGTACTTGAGATGATGTAACAAAATTAGAGGAAGAAGCCAAGTCTGAAGGATCATCCTCAGACATTTTCAACTCAAAGACAGCGGATAGTACAGCAGAAAGAAAAGTGAAGCAACATGCACAGTGATCTTCAGAAAGAAGACGAAACACGATCGACTTTTCTTTTTTCTCTCAACGATTGAACACGATTTTCAACCAATCAGAATAAAAAAAGCTCCTGCACTTTCCAGTGTAAGCTAGAGACATCCGCTACTAGCGAACCTCCCTCTACTAAGAAAATAAATAAATAAAATTCCATTTAAGTCCATGGGCCGATGAAAAAGTCTATTAGCGCCGTTTTAAACGCGCCACTATCGCGCAAAAATTGCAAAATAAAAAAGTGATTTGAATAAAGAGATACTTTGCTGCCTGTACATTCATTCAATAAGCTATTCAGAAAAAAAATTTGGACTGATTCTGTTCAGCGCATAAAAAGTCGATTTTGCGATAATAAACTGTACTACTTACGTTCTACTTTTCCCTTTTTAATTCACAGGCCGCAATCATGTCTGCAAAGTTGACCACATAGATATGTCAGGTAGTCTGTTTAGAAGAAGCAGATCTACATGTACACATGTTTTCTTTTCTAACGAGTATTAATAACAAACTTTTTTCAAAAAGATATCGTTAAACACATAGACCTTAAGCAATTGAGAATTCGTTCAAAGTCCCTAGTGATCCGGCTATTCGACGACCGAATAAGCCATCGGTGAACAGGATCCCAATTCTTTTGCGAATAACATGTCACTGGAAATTAACATTTTAGGAGTTGAGCCAGAAGAGAAAAGTTTTAATTCAAGAAGCAAGAAACGGTTTAGGGAATAGCACTTGTATCCTACATCCTACCTCATAGTAAGAAAACTTCATTTCACTTCACATCATCTCAACATCTCCCATGAAGTTCAATAGAACTCCGCTCGCATGCGGCTTTTATTTTCATGATGGAAATAACTATCTTAATCAGAATATTAAATTGAAGAAAAAGAATTGTTTTCTCTATTCGTGCAATTTATTTCATTGTTGAAAATAAACAGAATCATAAATAGGCTAAAACATTGGTCACGCGATTTGTGATCAGTCCTATATGATTGGCTTTTTTGTTAATGTTATTAATTATCGCTTAAAAATCGATTCTCAATTAACATTTAAAGAATTATTGTTAGAAATGCAAAAAGTATGTTTATCTGTATTGAATTATTCATATTTACCATTTCAAAACATAGTAAAATTATTGTATGGTAAACGTGGATTAACACAAGGACAAATGCCTTTTCATCCACTTATATTTATTTATCAAAATAATGTTATGAATATTAATAGAATATCATTTGCCGATGCTGTTTGTGAACGTATTGATGAAGGTTTTCATCACATAACAAAATTTGATTTAGCAGCATTTGTTTCACACAATATTTCTGATGGTGGTAAAACACATAATATAGTATGTGTCTGGGACTATGCAGTTGATTTATTTAATGAAGCAACTGCAAATAAAATAGTTGAACAATTTCAAACACTACTAAAACATTTGTTTTCAACAACAACAGAATTCAAACTCACAGAAACACCGCTATACAAACTTTCATTGTGAACAAAGAAGAATCTGTCTGATGTAACAATATTAACATTAGCTTTGAAATTAATATTTATTATTTGTATTATTTTACTAATATATTTATACTTATTTAACCCTTTGGCAACGGGAAGCCCATATATAGGCAAATGTCGCAACACTGCTGTAACTCAAGAATCATAACAGCTAGTGACTTCTAATTTTGTGTGGTCATAGTTCTTACCAAATCCTGATCATCCACCAAGTGTGGGTCTCTTTTACTCTATGGTTCGTGAGGTATAAGTGATTTATTTCTTTTCCGTAAAATACCAATAGCTCCTCATCTGAGAAAGATGAAAACTTTTTCTTTTTACCAAAATGTAGCCACGACTCTACTCTATTTACCATATGAATTTCGTGAGTTGGCAGTTAGTAGTCTGTGAAGTACAGCTATTTTACGGGTGAGGTTCGCGGTTTTTTGTTGAAACTTCGAACTCCTTTTCGAAAAAAATTCACAACTCAGTCTAGGAGCATAATTTTGACTTCAAATTCGCATCAAAGGCTCTACAGCGTCTGTAGATTATCTAGCCAAAGTATGAAGATTAACTATTGTGTGCTTCTGAAAAGTCACTGAGAACGAGCACCCACGATTGAAACATACGTAGAAGAGCGAGGGTGGCGAACTAAGGGTCACTCTTTATACTATCGAATCTGCATGCAATGTGCATCATAATCATGAAAATATAAACATAGAAACCTATGATTCCGAAAAGCATATGAGAAACTTTTGTCAGAAAGATTACACACTCACCTTTGACCTTCGCCATTTCACTTATTTTGAGCCCTTTTCACTTCTCTTATATTTTCAAGCAAAAGTAATAACATATTTGAGATCAGCAGACAAAACTGAGTCCAACAGCATACTTAACATTCGGTTTTTGAACAAACAAAATTTTATTGATAGTTTTCTCTCTAGTGGGAAGACCGGACATATATATACGTCTCCCGTCGCCAAAGTGTTAAATAAAATTTCTAAGAAAACTAAGTGCATTTTTAAAGGAGTTATTAGTTCATGATTGTCCTTCCAGTATTCAAAACTTTGTTTAAGGGCACTCCCCCCCTTTCCGGCGTTTTTGGAGAACGGTACATCAGAAAATTTTGAAACTTTCTGGGCAGATAGATCTAGAGGAGTAGAGCAAATGTCTTGCTAGACTTAGAATTCTCAGATGCTGTCTTCAGTAA